GGCGCAGGGGGGTTGCGGGGCGCGCCGCGCGCATGTGGGCGGGAGAGCGCCTGGTGGGAGCTGCGGGCGGGGGCAGTGGTCGGGCCCGGTGCCCGTGGAGTCGGTGGAGTCGGTGCGTCCTGGGCATGAGCTTTTGTGCGAATCCGGGATTCCATTGTGCGGCGCAGCGAGCTGGGAAACCGTGAGGCAGGGGGAGGTTGGTATCCCGCCTGAAGGAAGGTGCCCTTGGGGATGCCTGGGGGATGGGGGCGCCTCCCCCCTGCGAAGAGTGCCACTACCTGCAGAGGGTCCAGGCCTGCTGCCACTGATTCAACCCAGGGTGGCCCTCTCCTGTAACCCAGAGCCTGGTGGGGGCGGGGGGGGGGTCCTGAAATCGCTGGAGGGGCGGGGCCTCCGGCTCTGCTGCACTTGGCATCCATAGGGGGCTTGTGGGGGTCACCACAAGCTGCTTGGCTCTGCGGGGAGTGGGGGGGCAGCCCTGTGGGGCTTTACCTGAGGGATTGCAGTCAAAACTGGCAGGACCACTCCTGTCCAGAGACCCCCCTTTGTGGGGGAAGTTCCTGGTGGAATACAGGCCCCCACCCCTCAGCTTAGGCGACGCCCCCAGAGAGCATGGGAGGTATATGGTAGAGATGAGTCTTTGCAGAGATCCTGCAGATCTTACGTCTCCTGGGGTGGGGGGTGTTGTCCTCCATCAGGAACATCCAGGGGACCCCTGGCTATGGCCAGTAAACAGGAGCCCAGCCCCAGCACCCAGGTTGCTTTCATCTGTGAGCTGTGTTGTCAGCGATGCTGATAGTCAGCCACTTCTCCCTGTCCAGCCGCAGGTTGCCAGGGTAGGGACAGCTTCTCCTCCAAGGCTGGTGCCTCCACTCCCTGAGCCTGGAGGTCCCCATCACCATGCCCCCCGCCAAAGGCAAGCTGTCATTGGGGGCACAAGGAATGCACATGGCAGGCACTCTGGTTGGGGGTTTGTACAAACTGGCCATTGAGCTGGGCCAGGGGTGAAGGCTGAGGGTACCAGGCATCTGTGTCCTGGGAAATCAGCCAGGTCTCTGGCCCCAGCTGTTTCTGCAGACCGGGAAAGAGCACTGGGGGTCTCATGGCCTGGGACCCCGCCTCACTCCTCTGCCTCCTCCGGTGCGCTAGGGTAGGCCTCCATCTAGTTGAACTCTGTAATAGATCAGTCCACTGAGGGCAGGGATTGTCCACAGGCCTCGTGCCCCCGAAAGTGTGGTTAGGCCCAGGGTGGCCACCAGGGAGTGTCACCTCACCCTAGCAGGGACTGGCTGTCACCCAGCCGCCTGGCTGTGGGCAGGTTAGCGCTCAGTGTGTCTTCACGGCCCCTGTCTCCTTTGAGACGACGCTGTGCTGTGTGGCAGGCAGGATGCTGAAACAGGCCAGGGGTGTAATGAGCTCTGCCCGTGGTCACTCACTGAGTCAGAGATGTGCTAGGGATTCCCACTCGGGTCTTTGAGGCCAGCGGAGGGGCTCCTTCCACCGACCTGTGGCCCAGGACTTGGGTGTACAGGGAAGGCAGTGGGCACACACCACCACGTGTAGAACGTGTGCCCGCTGCATGCCCTGCTTGCTCACCGTCCCCGGCGTTCCCAGCTCTTAGCCCATCCTCTGGTGCTGTCCTCTGGGCAGAAGGGAGCCCTAACTAGAGCACAGGTGCCCCTGCAGGGCTGTGCCAATTCCAGTAGGTGATGTCATGCCCAGGGGCAGGAGGGCCCCTCAGAAGCCCTTGCCTCCCGGTCCTGGCACCCACGCTTGGCCAGGGGCTCCCAGCCAACTAGAGTCAGGGAGGGATTGCATCAGCCCAGGGGGAGAGGCAGGAAGGCCCAGGCTGGCCCCTGGCCACCGGCACAGAAGATCTACACCCTCAACAGGAGCCTTCCGTGGCGTCGGAGCCCACCCCTGCCTGGGTCCTGCACGTGCAAGGCCGGCCCGCAGCCTCGACCCCACATTTATGGGCATCACAGCGGCGTCCTCAGCAGGACCAGCTCCTAATTAGCCTGGGGAGGAATATGGGTGTAGGGGCAGGCCTTATATGAGCACAGCACGCGCCTCGACTTGGTGAGAGCAGCCCTCCGGCACCCAGCGCTGACTGCAGGTGCTCAGGCCAGAGGCTCACCCCCTGGCATCACGCTGGGCTGGGGGTCCAGGCTGCGGCCAGAGATGTAGGGGTGGTCGGGTGCCCTGGACTCTTTCTTGTGCCCCAGCCAGCCGACCGCCTGACTCACGTCTCCTCTGCTCCTCCTCCTGCAGGGGGCTTTGCCACCTTCTCCTCCTGCTTCCCTGGCCTCTGTGAGGGTAAGCCTGCTGCCCTGCTGCCCATGAGCCTCTCCCAGCCCTGCCTGCCTGTGCCCAGTGTGGGCCTGACCCGCATCCTGCCTCACCTCTACCTGGGCTCTCAGAAAGATGTCCTGAACAAGGTGTGTGCACAGCTGGGGCTTTGGCCGTTGGCAGGGGGCGGGGGGCGGAGGCAGGAGCTCAGATGCAGCTCCTGGGCTGGTTTGGGGGGGTGGGGAGAAGGGAGCTGAAAGCCAATGAGGGGATGGATAAACATGTGGGAGAAGCCTGGGTTGGGGGCACGAGGACGTGAGGGGACAGGGGCAGGACCGGAGCAGGGCTGGGTGGAGAAGCAGCTCCCAGCCCCTTAGGCGGCGGAGCCCACATGCCACACTGCTGATGTCACTGGGCCCCTGGCCAGCACTGAAAGAATCCCGTGTTTTAAAATTGTGATGAGGGAAGAGGGTAAAGCCACCGCCCAGGCAGCCATAACATTCCTGGGAGCCTACCTCAGGCTGTGGGTGGCGCTTGCCCGATACCAGCATCCCCATCCCCCACCCTCCCCCCACCCCCCGCTAGAGGCTCTGAGCTCCAGGGTGGAAGTGGGAGGGGCTTCCACCTCCAGGGCACCCCTGTGCAGCCTGTCCTCCTGTCCCTCCAGGACCTGATGACCCAGAACGGAATAAGCTATGTCCTCAACGCCAGCAACTCTTGCCCCAAGCCGGACTTCATCTGTGAGAGCCGCTTCATGCGCATTCCCATCAACGACAACTACTGCGAGAAGCTGCTGCCCTGGCTGGACAAGTCCATCGAGTTCATCGGTGAGGGGCGGGGCAGGGGTGGGGGTCTCCTGTAGGAGGGCGGGCAGGACGCTGGGGAGAAGCACTGCGACCCCGGTGCTTGGGCCTGAGATGGGACTGGGATCGTTGGCGGTAGGGCCGGTGAGGTCCCCTGCCTGGGTTAGGGAAGCGCCGGCACCCTGAGCCCTCACCGGCCCCGGTGGCCCTGCCTCCAGATAAAGCTAAGCTGTCCAGCTGCCAAGTCATCGTCCACTGTCTGGCTGGCATCTCCCGCTCGGCCACCATCGCCATCGCTTACATCATGAAGACCATGGGCATGTCCTCCGATGACGCCTACAGGTAGCCTCTCCTTTCTTCCTGGGCCCTGAAGTTTAAGGCTGGAACCGGCCCTTCCCCGCCCCCTCTCCACCCACGAGCAGCCGAATGGCCCTGGCCCGGGAGGGAGACGCCTGAGCCGGGCTCCAGCACTCCGGGGTGGGTCTGCACATCAGCTGTGTGCCCAAGCATGGGCAGGGGGGAGCAGGGGGAGCCGGGCAGGCAGCCCCGCCTGGCAGGAAGCCCCGTCTCGAAGCAGCCCCCCGCCCCCAGGTTCGTGAAGGACCGGCGCCCATCCATTTCGCCCAACTTCAACTTCCTGGGCCAGCTGCTGGAGTATGAGCGCAGCCTGAAGCTGCTGGCTGCCCTGCAGGGTGACGGGGCGCCCCACCCGGGGACGCCCGAGCCCCTCCCGGGCCCTGCCGCCCCACTGCCGCCGCCGCCACCACCTACCTCAGAGAGCGCTGCCACCGGGAGCGCGGCGGCCAGTGCAGCCAGGGAGGGCGCG